GATCCTTCCCAGGAATGTATGAGACACTCATACATTCTGGTTCTGGGGTCCAGCTTTCTTGGATTTGTAACCTTTTGTAAGAGGCACTTTTGCACTTTGTTGAAGACTATGACCCTGGGTGTCTTAAAAATGGAGATAATGGGCTGGGCGTGGTTGCTTATGCCTACAGTCCCAGTACTTTGGGAGGCCAAGCTGGGAGGATTGCTTGAGCCCAGGAGTTTGAGACCAGCCTGGGCAACATGAGACCCTCTCTCTACAAAAAAATAAAATTAGCCAGGTGTGGTGATGTGTGCCTGTAGTCCCAGCTACTTGGGAGGTTGAGGTAGGAGGATTGCTTGAACCCAGGATTTTGAGGTTACGGTGAGCTATGATCACACCACTGCACTCCAAGCTGGGTGACAGCATATGGTCCTGTCTCTTAAGAAAATAAAAAGTAAAAAAGGAGATTTTTTGTTGTTGTTTTTTTCTTGAAGGCGTGGGAGGATTACCCAGTGCTAGATTGTTAAAAGAGAGGAGGGACTTTTATATATCGTGGTAAAACAGTATTTCTTATAATTTTTTGATCCCAAACCACAGTTAAGAAATGTATTTTATATCATATCATTACTTAATGTACATATACATATGTACATATATATAACTGAAACAAAGTTTAAGAAATATACATTTCTATCAAGTATTAAATGTTTTCTCTTCTACTTTCATGGAAAAGTCATGTTTGATGAGCACCTTTAAATTGATGTCTTATCTAGTAGGTTGAAGTCTGTAATTTATAACATACTGATTAGACTGATCATGCTTCCTATCTCTGTTAGGTGCGTCTAATGCTAGTGTTGGCGCCTGTTATGTGCATTCTTTCCGGCATTGGAGTCTCCCAGGTGCTGTCCACATATATGAAGAATCTGGACATAAGTCGTCCTGACAAGAAGAGCAAGAAGCAACAGGATTCTACCTACCCTATTAAGAATGAAGTGAGAATTAAGCAACACTAGGAAAAGGCTTGGGAAACTGTATGGATGTGTGTGCTCACATGTGTGTATGTGTTTGAGTGGGAGAGTAGAACAGTGTCATAGGTGGTCAGAATGAACTCATATAGCCCCTGACTTATTTTGATTCATATCATCTGCATTATTGACTGTGTGTAAGAAGCTGTCCTGTGTTGTGTAAATTGAGTTTGGTTTACTACACAGTTCTTCTTCCTTATTTAGGTGGCAAGTGGAATGATACTGGTCATGGCTTTCTTTCTCATCACCTATACCTTTCATTCAACCTGGGTGACCAGTGAGGCTTACTCTTCTCCTTCCATCGTGCTGTCTGCCCGAGGTGGGGATGGCAGTAGGATCATTTTTGATGACTTCCGAGAAGCATATTATTGGCTTCGTCACAATACACCAGAGGTGAAGATTTAAGAGGAGTGGGATTGTGGGCTAGGGGTGAAGGGGAGACGTTTGATCTTGTAGTGAATCATATAGCTTTTAGATACGTGGAAAGCTTGATGAAATTGGAACTTTGGAACCCTACTCTTGAATGAGCCTTAAAGGTCACCCTCCATTCAATTTGGGGATTTCTTTTACAGTGACACTTACTGATAATTATCTAGACTTTGCTTGGATACTTTTATTGACATGGTGATTTTAACATGAGGTAGAACATCT